TGACTGACAATACAGTCCTCTAATGAAACATAAGTTAGAAATATTACATCAGAACACCCTCTCAATATTATTTCATGTCTGAAGGACATAAAATATAATGTTTATCAAACTTTCTAGTCCTCAAACTTACTGCAAGTTAATTTCAGAACCCTAAGGTTTTTTCACTTCAGCTGCGAAAGAATAAAACATTTTTGGGAAAGTATTTTAAGGCAGAACAAAAAGCAAACAATAGAAGATAGCCATTTCAATGCTTGATTTGGTGGCACGTTAGAAGTAGTCCTGGAGAAGATGTATTATTTGCAGAATGTAGGTGAGAAAACAGATGGAGTTTACTCTTGTTCTGCTACATAGTTTATGCTTTCAAACACATAGGGTATGTCTATACTACCACCCTAGTTCAAACTAGGGTGGTTAATGTAGGCAACCAAAGTTGCAAATGAAGCCCGGGATTTGAATTTCCCGGGCTTCATTTGCATATTGCCAGGCGCCGCCATTTTTAAATGTCCGCTAGTTTGGACTCCGTGCCCGCGGCTACACGCGGCACGGACTAGATAGTTCGGATTAGGCTTCCTATTCGGAACTACCGGTACACCTCATTCCACACCTCAAATCCCGGGCTTCATTTGCAACTTCGGTTGCCTACATTAACCACCCTAGTTCGAACTATGGTGGTAGTGTAGACATACCCATAGAAATGAATATTCTGCCCTAACGTGTTGTATAAAATGCCAAACCTGATTCAATAGGCATAATAGTAAACATTATAAGATATAGAATCAATCCACAGAAGCATATCTGAATCTCATGATTTCAGTGTGGGATGTTGAAATCTACACCCAGATCTCTTAGACCTCCATGGGCAGCAAAAGTCCAAATACCCACAAACACTTGTGGCATCTGAAATTTCTATCAGCATGTGAATTATATTTCCCAACACATAGGCTGTGTCTAGACTGGCAAGTTTTTCTGCAGAAGCGCCTGCTTTTGCAGAAAAGCTTGCCAGATGTCTACACTGGCCGCTTTGAATTTGCGCAAGAGCACTGAAGATCTAATGTAAGATTGTCAGTGTTCTTCCGCAAATACAATGACTCTCCCATTCGGGAAAAAGCCCTCTTGCACAAATGCTTTTGCACAAGAGAGCCAGTGTAGACAACTGAGAACCGTTTTGCGCAAAAAAGCCCCAATGTCGAAAATGGCGATTGGGGCTTTCTTGTACAAAACTGCGTCTAGATTGGCACGGATGCTTTTCCGCAAAAAGTGCTTTTGCACAAAAGTGTCCATGCCAATCTAAATACTCTTTTCCACAAATGCTCTTAACAGAAAAACTTTTCCGTTAAAAGCATTTGCAGAAAATCATGCCAGTCTAGACGCAGCCATATTGTATTTGGAAAGCAGATTGCAAACTGAAGCCAACATGATTCTGGTGGTCTCTTTAGATACACTGATAACAACAATTATTGTCCGTAGGAGGTATGCATGCATGTGGAGATTCCAGACCCACCTACAGATAACTCTTTTACTCTTAAAGATCTGAAATCATCTCCAAATGACGTAAATTACATTCTTATCATTACCTTCAGTGTCATTTGGATAACGCCTGTAATGCATTTCATCCAAGAAGCTGACAGTGCTACAACAATTTATTATTAGTTTATATGTGTATTATGTTCATTTAGTTATGAAGGCTCTGCATGTGTGGGAATGGAAGGCAGCATGGGAGACAAAAGTAAATGTCAGAATTCCTAAGCCATAGAAGCAGAAACCCACAGAAACATAATGTTAGCACTAAATTAGCAAGACAGAGAGAGACTAAAATTGTTCACTTTCACTGAACATGTTATCCAGCTTTACTATACAACAGGAACAATCAGCGAGGATTATTTTTAATTCTTTTGAGATAATTATTATTTTTCCCAAAGAATCTGTGAGTCATTTGTAAGGAGGCACTAGGAGAGAGGAGCAAGTTTTATTCTGTAAAATGCATTTCTATTAATGAATGTACAATCTGTGTTTCAAATCTAAAGATAATTAAAATACTAAA